TGAAGACCTAGAGGAATCCATAGGAGGTGGTTCTACCCTAGTAGAAGGAGCCTAGAGGAGGAAGCTCTTCTTTAGTTTCAGCGCCTGTTATCCAGGTAAGGGGGGAGTGAGAAACCTCGCTCTGGGTGTGGGTCTGTAGCTGGCAAATGAAGTTTATTCTTTTGTTTTTTTTAGCTACTTAATATAGCATTGCTTGATGTATTTTGTATACTCTGATTTTTAAGCCCCAGGCTGGACCTTGTGTATATATTTTAGCTGCTTATATATACATGCATACCCTTGTCTATTTGGTGTTGTGTTTGTTGTTGCTGTGTGACGGTCAAGCGGGTCGTTACAGCTAAAATATGTATATCAAATATATAATTTTTAAAATAAATATATTTATATAAAAAATATATTATTAATTAAAATTTAATTATTAAAAATTATATATATATATATATATGTTTGGACTGCAATGATCATACTGTGTATGGGAGCAGAGTAGGGTTAGGTTGGTGTCTTGAGGCGGGTCTGTAGCTGGCAAATGAAGTTTATTCTTTTGTTTTTTTTAGCTACTTAATATAGCATTGCTTGATGTATTTTGTATACTCTGATTTTTAAGCCCCAGGCTGGACCTTGTGTATATATTTTAGCTGCTTATATATACATGCATACCCTTGTCTATTTGGTGTTGTGTTTGTTGTTGCTGTGTGACGGTCAAGCGGGTCGTTACAGCTAAAATATGTATATCAAATATATAATTTTTAAAATAAATATATTTATATAAAAAATATATTATTAATTAAAATTTAATTATTAAAAATTATATATATATAGTAAGAACAAATATGAATTATGGTGCTAAACTGTGGAACGACCTTAAGAATTATTAATCCATCAAATTCCTATTAACATAAACAATTGTTCATAATAATTAAAAATAATCTTGATAAAGACCAAAATATATATATATATATATATATATATATATATATATTTGTCAGCTGTTAAAAATCAAATATGAGAAAAGCGAAGCTTCCACAAGTTGTTTGGCAGCAATAGGAAAGCACGATGAGGCAGTACTTAATTGACCGTAAACATTGGAAGCATTACAATTATAAATTATTACACGCGTTCCGCTACTCTTCCTTATCCACATGTGACCAAGTTTCCCACTTTCCCCTTTTACCCATGAGAAAATCTCGTTGACTGCATCCCATAAAATAAAAATAAAATTGAAAACCAAACAACAAACGAAGGTCGCAAGAATAAGAACAAGAACAAGACCAACATTTTGGAGCCGCTTCATTCTCCTCCAACTAACTACTAATCAGAACTGTTCTCACAGATCCTCCTTTTTTCCCTTTCTTTTCTGCGTTTAATTCGCCACCCACCCGCAAAGCGTTAACCATTTTTGTTCATTGCAACTGAGATTTCCTCAGTTAGGGTTTTATTCATCGGCTTCATTCATTTTATCAATTTTTTTTAAAAATAATTATTGTCATTATTATTCCAAATTCGAAGCGAACCATAGTTATTCATGGCGTCGAGTTTTGACCGGTGGGAAAAAGATCCTTTCTTTAACGCTGCCGAAGAAGTTCAGGAATCTGCGGATAGGTATATTCATTTGGGTATTTATCATAAGCTTTCTTCGTTTTTTGTTCCAATTAGCTTTGTGTTTTTATGTAATTTGTAATTGATTTGGTTCTGAACAGGAACTATAGGAGTAGAACTTACTTAATTTGTGCCTTTTTCTACTCTATTGAATTGAATACAGAGAAATGATAAGCTTGGAGTTTGTAAGTTTAGTTGTCTGCACTATATTATAACTTCTTCTTGTTGATTTTGTTGTTATTGTCTTTTTCAAGGATGGAATCTACGTATAGGACATGGATACACGCAACAAAAGATGCATCTAGCATGTGGAACTCTGATGAATTGTGCAGAGATCTACGTACTGCACTTGGCACTGCCAAATGGCAGGTAATTTTGACTCCTGGTAAATGAGCTACTAGATAGTTAGTTCATTTGATATGTTTTGTCGTTGAAATGGGTATATGATTGCATCTCTGGCTTGCAATGCAGTTAGAGGAATTTGAACGGGCGGTGAAGTCAAGTTATAGCAAAAGCTCAAGCGAGGAAGCGAGAAATAGGCACCGAGATTTTATCACTGCCATTGAGGATAAGATAATGAAAGTTGAGCATTTGTTGAATGGATCAGTTGTTCCAGGAGACAAGGCATCTCTGCCTTGGTTGCGTTTAGATGAAGGAGAACAGAATGAGCTTGCTTTGTTTCTTTCAGGAACGCCAGCATCTGGAAGTAATGATCCCACTTGGTCTAACTTAAGGGACATTGAAGATCCACTATTAAGTGATGTAGCTTTGGCCAGTAATTGTTCAAAGGATTTTCATGTTTCATCTGGATGGGGTGAACCAAAGGAGGAGATGTCAAATGGGCATCGCCGGACAGCCAGTGCTAGCGCTGGTATTGGTTTTTGGAAAATTTCGGTTCATGATGATGCACAGCAGTGGAGTTCCTCCAGCGGTTCTTCTGGTCCAATGCATAAGATACCCAGTTTATCAGGTTTTCTCAGTTCTGTGGAATCTGTCCCCAAGTTGAAGTGGCCTAGGAATGGTTATAGAAAGCTCAAAGCAGCAGATCATCGTGAAGAAGCTGACACTGCACTACTTCCAACAGCTGAACTGAATAGGGTGTGTACTTAATCTGCACCTTTTGTTTCTCTCATAGGACCGGTTTGGTTAAACTTTTTTAGAAGTACTCATACGATAGAAAAATAGAAAAGAAAAATGAAATAAGTTTTTCCATAAGCTTATGTAAAAATTAATTTATAGAAACTTTCTTCTACAAGTTTCTCCAAAATCTTATTTTGACTTTATGTATAAGCTTGTTTTCATTTATGGAGAAAGTAATTTCAATTTTCCTTCCTATTTTTTTCTTCTAAAAGTATTTCTGGAGAAGTTTATTAAATCAGACTCATAATGGAGTTTTGTTTGAGTGGTTTTTAATACATTAGTTGAATTACTAATATGTAATTCCTTTTTGTTTTTCTTTTGTTGAAAAAAGGGAAACAATGCACGCTGTGAAAGAAGTAAAAGTGGCCTTGATAGTTCTGATGAATGCTATGACAAGCAACTCTATGGATGGTATGGTGCTATCCGGAGACAGCTTCAAAGATCTCAATACCAAATGCAATACAGGCAGCCTGTTCGAATAGCTGTTTCGATTGTTGTTCTCCTTTCTTTTATTGGTAAGCTGATAGCTGTTTCGATTGTTGTTCTCCTTTCTTTTATTGGTAAGCTGTTGTTGTATGTGTACTGTGTTCCTACTTACATTGTATGTACTTGCATGCAATGGGATTTCTTATGAACAACTTCTTACTATGGAAATTGAGGAATTATACCTTATTAATCTTTTTATTATTACTATTATTATTTCAATAATTTGTATGGCCTTCTTGCTAACGATTTGCTTTTGCTTCTCATCCTAAAGCTGTTGTTTATTGATCTTTTTTTTTAATTATTTATTCTTTTTCCAATTTTGTTCTCTTGATTTGCAATAGTCACTCCTGTTGCTATCTCCATGCTTTCCTATCTTTTTTTTCTTCTTTCGTTAGTTTGTTGCATAGCTTGTTTATTTTACACGTAGACATTTCAATTTATTGAACTTTATTATGCGATGGGCATTCTTTTGTTGGGAGGAATCCAAATTTATTGTCTGTAACGTGAATGTAAAGTGTGTAACTTCTGTTACTTTTGTGGTTTTGCCCCTTTTCAATAATTTTACGAATAAATTTTTGTAGTTTAATGTATTTAACCAACTGATTTTCTTCTTTCCTTGAACACCCTTAAGCTTACATCTTGGTCCATTCTTGGCAACTGTTTGAAATTTTGTCTGCCCACTATATGTGCCTCACATGCTTGCATTATTATTATTGTTGTTGTATACAATTTATGTTGCGGCTTACACTTATCGGTATCCTGCAGCATTAATCGCATTTCACGCAATGTAGAAGGAAGATATAGATACACGATCTATCAATTTGTAGCTAGAGACATGACGAGGTGCAGACAAGCTTTTGATGCAAGTTCATATAGTCCCACATTGTCGCTTGAGCAGCAGAGATAGGTTAGATTTTCTAGAGGTACACCCTTAAGTTTTGGGATTTTTATTAGTCAATTAGAGTCTACTATAGGCACTTCCTCAACTTTTCGTTTTTTTCTTTTGGCTATTCAATCTGATTTTCCCCTCCCACTTCAAAATTGTCCATGAAAAGCTCTGTTTACTATAAAATAGTAAGATGGATATGGTAAAGGGGATTGGCCTATTTGATATTCTAATGTGTATCATACATGTCTGCTGGATGCTAGAGCTGTTTTTTTATTTTTATTAAAGCTAATAATGGTCTAGCGTGGGCATTTTCAAGATGATACCTTCATTATTCTTTTTATTTTTTTGTTTTCATTTGATATGGACCAATACTTGGCAGTTATGGGCCTGCTGGCCCAGCAAAGATGTGAGTGATGTCGGTTAAACATGAGAGCTTCGCTTCGACGTTGTCTTGCTGAACTTGCTCTGAGAATCTGAGATATCGCACTGAATGTAGTGCACGTTGCATAACATTTTATTTCAATAAATTAAACTTAGACTATGCATGGAGATTTGAGTTGTCTAACTTTTACGTAACCGTTTCCTTATTATATAGACATGTTTCGATGGCATTAATAAAGAATCAACTACAAAGAATTTTAACTAAAAAATATGGAGATGTATAGAAAGCCATGGTAGGGTGGATTAATAATAATATTATATATATATATATATATATATATATAGATATAGATATAGTGACGAATTTAGAATTTAGAAAATTTGTTAAGTAGGAGTAATAAAATATTTTATAATATTTTTTTTATTAAAAATAAAAAAACTTTTTTAGAAAAAGTACATTTTTGTGACAAAAAATTTAATATCTTTATTTTTTATAAATTAAAAATTTTCATAGAGTAACAATTTTTTTTTATTTTATTTAATATTATATTTAAGTGACTTTATAATTTTTAGTGACTTATTTAATATCAGAGGAACAAAATAGTATAAATTATTAAGATAAATATGATACAATTATTATTAATTTTTTTTATATCTATTATAAATTATGTTCATTTAAATCAAAAATATTTTAGGAGAATAATGTCTATTTTTTTATAAGAGTAAATTTATTTTTGCATTAAATGTTTAAATAAAAAAAATAAAAACTTTATGTGACAATTACTCTCATTTCTCTTAATTTGAATTTTCTACCAACACATAATGTACATATACAAGATCAAAATGGTTAAAAATAAAAATAAAAATTAAAAAATAACTTATATTTATATACTAAATTATGATATCTTTAATAAATAAAGTAATAAATATTTCGATAAAAAATAAAGTATATTATAATAATAATGGAAGGAACATGAGGGTTGTGTTCAATTGAAAGCCCATCAAGAATGATGGAGATGTGTTTAGATGGGTGGGGATCCTACAGAGGTTAGGGTATCAACGTTTTTCTTGATTGATAAAAGATAATTGTTGAGAGAATCAGTTTTCTGAATATCTTTGAGTTGAGTTTTCAATTGATACACCTTTGAACAAGTTTGAGATTCAAAGTAAGTGTGAAAGTATTTCTAAATTTGGTGAGCGTGGTTGCAACCCGCTATGCGAGCAGCATGAAGTGTAGGAGAGATTGAAGTAAGAAGTCATGTATATACGATTTGATCTTGTTGCTCCTAATTGGCATAGTCGTCAAAGATTTTCCTAAGAGCTATGTCGTCTTTGTCCTTGAATTTGTTAGGTATGAAAGGAAAAATCAATGAATTGTTGTAACTTGAAGGATTTGATAGTGCTTGAAGCTTGCATCATCCATATGAGGAAGTTTTCATCATCAAGTTTGATTGAAATATGTACGATTATTTGAATTGCGGAAACTATCATGAAGAATTCATTATTTTCTCAAGATCTTATTGTTCTTGATGATACCATGTAAGATTTAGATGAGAGAAAGAGAAGAAAGAAAAAATAGAAAAAATATGTATTATTATTAATGATGCATACATATTATACTACAAGAGATATATATAGAGAAAGCCTAAGAGTTTAATGGGCTTAATGACTCTTATAGACTATATTCCCTTTACATATTTCATTATTTCTCAGTCATACAAACTTTGGCACCAAAATCCCTGTAAGTGCATGTGTTACAACAGGAGATTCATCAAGATCCTTGAAGACAATGTCAACACAACCTTGAAGGCTTAGATAAATATCTTTTCCACACCCTCATGGCACAATCTTATAAACTTTGGTCCTATATATCCAACTCTTAAACGAATTATTAGAGTTCCTAAACCCCAAAAACCCATGCTCTCTCGCCTTGTTCATGCTGTCCAATACCACTGCCTCCCCTCCCAATGCAGCATCTGCAAGCCACCATTCTTCAATCTCTTCAAGCTTGACATGCAGTAGCTGATTCTCCCTCACAATCTTTTCCCACACTGCACCCTTATTCTTCATCGTTTTGGAGAACCTCATATCTGAACCTTCTAGAAACCCAAAATCCCTTATCTCAAATTGTTCCGCCAACACTTTCCACACATGCTTCCACTTGAAAACATCCCCGTTGCTACAGTTGAAGGCCTTGTTCTTTGCAAGAGGGTCCACCGCACCCCAAATGTGCTGCTCCGCAATTAAATCAGCATCAGAAGCGGTGGACGTTCCTTAACATAGCACCGTTGACTTCACAATTTTGGGCCTCCGTTGTCTTGTTCATCCAACAAACGTAGAAGATGTGAGTGACGTCGGTTAAACATGCAAGCTTCGATTCGACGTCGTTTTGGTCGGAGATATCGCACTGGATGTAGTTGATAGCGTGGTCTGCGTTCCAAGTTGGTTGGGTACGGCGTGCCACACCGTAAACCTTCTATGGACCACCGGGTGTGTTTGGGAGAGGTAGAATATGAGAGAGGCTGTTGCCCACGATGCCGCCACGCCTAAAACCAACGCCGTTGGAGGTACCTCAAAGGGTGGGATAGCTGGTCCCAAGATTTAACGCGGCTGCATACACAAGGCAGGATTCGAACCCCTGACCTTGCTTAAGCGTGGATCAACCCCTACCGCTGAACCACACGCTTGGAGTTCAACACCACGTTTTAATGATATGTATTTAAATTTTTTATTTTATAAAAAAATTAATAATACTTAACTATATGTTCTAGAGATTAATACATGTGGTGTTGGAGGACCACTTAATAGTTTTTTTTTTCTTCTACTAGATGTGATATGCTTAATCTTTGTTCGATTCTTATTTCATTTAATGTCATTTATGTGTTCATTTAATATTTTTTATTATTAATATCGTAAGTCTTTATAAATAAATAATAACATTTGTTAACTTTTATTGTCTTTTTTCTGTTCAAATGTTATTTTCTTCTTCTTCAAATCATAAAAGATTAAATGACGTTTTGTACAATTGAATTTTTTAAACAACTATTTTTTAATTTTTAAATGTTAGTCAAAGTAATATTTTTTAACACCACGTTTTAATGATATGTATTTAAATTTTTTATTTTATAAAAAAATTAATAATACTTAACTATATGTTCTAGAGATTAATACATGTGGTGTTGGAGGACCACTTAATAGTTTTTTTTTTCTTCTACTAGATGTGATATGCTTAATCTTTGTTCGATTCTTATTTCATTTAATGTCATTTATGTGTTCATTTAATATTTTTTATTATTAATATCGTAAGTCTTTATAAATAAATAATAACATTTGTTAACTTTTATTGTCTTTTTTCTGTTCAAATGTTATTTTCTTCTTCTTCAAATCATAAAAGATTAAATGACGTTTTGTACAATTGAATTTTTTAAACAACTATTTTTTAATTTTTAAATGTTAGTCAAAGTAATATTTTTTTTATATTATTTCAATTCCTTAAATTTTAAAATATATATTAATAATATTTTATGATTTTCATTATTATAATATTACATGTGACTTTTAATTATGTTTATTTTAACAATATTCTTTTTTATATTTTAGATTATTATTATTTTATAATCATATCGTAGTATTTATTTTATTTTATTTTTTAAATTATAATATTAATCTGCTATTATTTTTTATTTTTTATATTTTATTAATTATTTTATCAACGTAGCCTACTATTAATAATTCTACCTCCCCAGAGTCCTTTTCACATGTAACATTGAGATGCCTAATCTTGTACTTCCATTGCCATGTTATTTAATGTTTTTTTTAAGATAAAAAAGATTATAAAGATGGTCGTAATAAAGATTAAACCTAGGTCTTTATGTTTTTAATTATCTCAATCCCTTCCCACCTAACTACTAGACTAACCCTAGTGATTTTAATGTTATTTATTTGTTCATTTAATTTTTTTTAGATAAAATTATATTTTTAAATTTCACTGCTTTTAAAAGGTTTAATTTGATTCTTTAATTTTTTTTAAGAAAAATTGTAATATTGTCCTTTCAATTAAATTGATATTAATAGCGTTAAAAAAATTAGATAAAAGAACAATATTAAATATTTTTTGAAAATCAAAGAACCAAATTGAATATTTTAAAAGGCTTAAATATGTTTTTAATCTCTTAAATTTAGGGTAAATTTATTTTTGGTTCATCAAATTTAAAATTGGTATTTTTAGTCCTTGTAATTTCAAAAAATCATATTTTAGTTCTTATATTCAAATTTTGTTAAGAAATTTATCAAATATTATTGCATAAAATCTACCTATTGGTGTATTTGTTAGTGAAAACATCACATTTGTCTCAAAAATAAATTTGCCTTAAATTTGAGGGACTAATATTTTTTGTCTAAATAAATTTGAATAATATTTTACGTACTTTAACAAGATCATGAATATTAACAACAGATTGAGTACTTGAAATTTAAAAAAAGAATATCACAAAATGAAGGAGATATCTAATAAAAAATATATTAAATAGGTAGAAAAAATTCAAATTTATTTAGGTTGTCGCAATCAGGATCACAACACGAATAATGCAAAAATATTTTATTATAAAGCCGCCACCAATATTTTGTTTTGAGAAAAATAAATTGGAAAGTACTTTTAAAAAATGGTCTTCGAAATCAAAGTTAAAATCAAAAGTCAATTACATGTAGAGAATGTATTAGTACTGTACAACGCTAGTTAAAAGTAATACCTTTAATTAATTGGTCAAAACTATATATCTTTACAAATATTCATTTTACCCCCAAAAAATATTTTTTTAATTTAATTTTTATTTTAGAAATAATTTATATGTGAAATATGTAACATCCCAGTTTTTATTATTATTATATGGTAT